AAAATTTAAATAATTAAAAAATAAAAATAATAACACTTGAATGTTACATAAGGAATGTAAACTATAAATCTATTGTTATGCTTTTGCATTGAATTTATGTTTTTATTTCTTTTTAAATTCTGGGTCATTACAAAAAATTTTATTGGTAAAATAAAAATGTTTGTACTACTAAATTCACTATGTAAATTATTAAAATCTATAAAAAAATAAATAAATAAATAAATAAGAACCATTCTCTTACACAAACTATTGAAAAATAATGATGGACTCAATGGAATGATTATATGATTTAAAAACAATAAGTACAATTTAGAATTCTGCACCATAATAAAGTAAACTGAATACAACAAATGTAGTTAAAAATAAATTGCAGGAAAATTTATAGTAACTAGTTAGTTAATAATATTTTACATGACCAAATCAGAAGCTGACATACTATATTTTTAATTGATAGAGTGCTAATAAATTAGCTTTTTAAAATTTAAGATATAATTTTATTGGCGATTTAGATGGAACTATCTTTAAATTTTTAATGATTAAAATAAATCAAATTCTTTAGGTCTAAATTTGCACTAAGTTTAGAATAATACATTTTTCAATTAGTTTATAAATCTCTAGACTTAAAACTTTCTAAGTGTAATGTAAAATCATGAAAAAATTACACAAAGTTTAAACTCACTTACTATTTTCCTCTTGTCTATTTTTGTTCGTTGTTTTATCGTAAATATTTTGTTAGTCATTCTATAAAAGACTATTCCACCGAATGGTCATCCCTTCCCATTTGGTTTTGTTTTCTGAACTTAGTTTTTCTTTATTTTTTTTTTATGTATAATCTCATTTTAAATGAATTAGTGATGATTCTTTTTTTTTTTTTTTTAGTATTCGCTTGCAAATTTATAACCATGAAGTTTATAATGAACTTGAAATTACTTGTAATGGAACATTTATAAAAACTATCCACGTTATTTTTTTATATGATAAATTGTAAATTCAAATCTACTAATATTTTTATTAAGAGTATATTGTGATTTGTGTATATAAATCACAATATTCATTTATTTAAGCGGAAAATTGTAATTTTGAAGATTAAGGAGTATGTTTAATAAATCATTTAATTATATATTTGCAGGCGCGCGCGCGCTGGCACACGCGCACACACACACACACACAAATATTTGGCTTCGCCTTTGCAATTCCTTTGACTATAAATATATATATATATATTATATTTTCTTGATGAACTTTAAATTAAATCCTATTATTTTATTCCTTAATTTAATAATACATGGGACTGGGAAGACCATGTGAAACTGAAATAATTGATGGATTGAAATGGACGTGAAACTATCTCTATTCCAGTTTCGGCCAAACAAATCCTTCGCAGTATCCTCTACTCTGACTCACCATTATATTCTTTAAAATTAATTAGTGAACCTAATTAATGTTTGCATCATTGTTTAATTTGGATAAATTAGAGCAAAATATGATTGACCATAAATAGCAAGTGCTAATTTGAGCTATTAATAACAACTGGTAATTTAAGTGTCAGCTGTGACTCGGTGACATTTTTTTTTTTTTTTTTTTTTTTTTAATTTCTCAAATTAGTTATAAATAACTTTTATTGGTATGATCATCAAAATTAAATTGATCTAATCATACTGATTCACTGGCTTGTCATTAATTGAACCACTAATTCACAAAATTATGATTTAAAAAAGAAAATAAAAAATTACTAAATAAAAGTCGTCAACATTAAAAATGTTTTAGAAATTGAATATATACTAATTAAATAAATATTTAATGTAGATATTTTAAAACTGTATATATATGATTCATGTGTTTGAATTTAATGGTTTTGTTCTATTTTAAGTCTAAAGTTTAAGTTTCCACTCAAAAGAAAAGTTTAAAGGTGTAATTTATATTTTAGTATTTAAATTATTAATTAGATTTAGGCGATAGAAATAAGGTTTTACTTATAATATATTTCTGGTTTTATTCTTTCTATTCTTTTAGAAATTTAAGAATAAGAATTTATCAGTTTCATTAATTTTTCTATATATTTGTGATTTTAATAACTATTATATATTAATTAATAAATAAATAAAAAGTACTACAAGCGTGTTTGATTTCTTAAATCATGTGAGAAAAGTTTTTCTACTTAAAATATTAGAAATTATTTAATTTTTTATTTATGTCAATTTTAGCTTTCTTTTAAAACTGTCAATCTATAAATATTCATTATTTATATGAAGCTTATAAAGATATTATGTATTTTTAATTTATTTCTCAATAGTTTTTCAAGATTAATGAGTTTGTAAATTAAAAAATAATAATAATTAAATGATCTATAACTTATATTCTTGTAAAAGTTTTAGATGATGATGGGATTTTGACACGCAATTATCAAAGGAATATACCGATTTCGTGTAACATATTAATTAAGAGGAAATGCTGGTAAAAAGATTATCTCATATTGTTGGACTTGCTTTATATATATATATATATATACATGATCCTTCTCTTAGCATGACTTAGATGGTTGTGTAATGTGTCAATATGCAAACATATATGTACGTATAATGAAGAATAAGAGGGAATTCGGTAGCAAATGAAGGCACTAGCTAATTAATCCGGTAGCAAATAAGTGACTTTTGGCCTTATTTGCTGGAGCTTGTGGAAGCATAGAAATAAATTTATTTTCTAAGAGAGTGAGAGCAACATCGATGAACTTGCTAAGGATGTGTCTATCATGGCTAATAATATAAATTTTTATTTTTTTAAGTTTATATTTAAGAAATGTAACGCTTCTTCAACTCTATTATGATTAATAAAGTTAAGTCATTTTACTTAAATTGAGTTTATGTGATTTAAGTAAGTATTCTTATGTCATTACTCTATAAGATAGGATATGGTCCATAACAAGTGATATCAGAGTACGGTTTTATGACATATCTTGAATATGAGGCTTAAAGTTACATGGAACTTAGAATAGAGTATTTGAACTTAGAATGACATAGCAGAATATTATAGAAACTTTATTTGAACCCTAAATTTTGGATATGGAAAATGGTAAGGCCAAGGTGAAAGCATGTTTATTAAGATCTAAATGATAGGACAAGATAGAAATTCTGTATAAGCAGAAGCGTTAGATGAGATATTTTGGAGCCCGATAACTTTTTAAGCATCTAAAAAATAACAAATTTAGGAAAAGTATTTTTTTAAGAAGTGAAAAAAAGTTCTATTATACCCCTTAGGTTTAAATAGTTGTTGTCACCAAAGAAATTACTAAGTGAGACGAGCTTCCATATGGTTTAGAGTTGGAATAAGATATATTATTAATATTATGGAGGTCAAACATTGTTATGTTCAGAAGTATGAATTTTGAGACCATGTGAATAATGTATATACTTTGGAGGATATAAATTATCTTGTTGATTAAAGAGAAAGTATTATTAATGTTACTAGGAAAGAATGTTACCCCTTACTAAGGACTAGTTTGAATATGAGAATATACAATACCCTTGTAAAGACTAGCTCTTAAGGAATAACTTTAAAAATCCTAAGAATAGAGTTGTTATCCCAACTGAGGACTAGGAACACACCATAACTCTTAAGTAGTTTTTCTGAACAAAGTATAAAGGTGTCTTTAAACTTTTAAGATCATATACACTAAATTAGACTAATATTACTAAAAATATGACTAAACCTGTTAGACACTGATCCAACAAAGAGGAAGTGTATGCCAAGTGAAAGTTGAATTGAATAAAAATGGCTACCTTAAGACCGATGAAGAATTTGGCCCATCATAAGGATGAAACATTTGTGAATGTGACTATTAAGCATAATTGTCCTACTCTAGGAGTATATGGAATGTAGGAGACAATATATTGCATGTACTATACTATAATTTCATAATATTATTTATTAAAATATTTTATCTCAACCCCCTATCACCCTTCATATACCAAAAATACTGCTACAGAGTGGGCAGTGATACGGATAAAAGTTTTTGAAGCTAGACTATAATATTACAATTATTATTTTGTATTTTTATTTTATAATGTAAGAGAGAAAATTTAGAGTCTCATACATATTTATATGCTTTACATTTAAGAAGTGTAACGTTTCTGCGACTATATTATAATTAATAAAATTAAGTTATTTTACTTAACTTGAGTGTATGTTGTTTAAATACGTATGCTCTGATTATTATCTTATAAGAGAGATACTGTTATTAGGATATTTTATCTCATCACCCTTCATATACCAAATATACTGCTACAGAAAGAGCAGTGATATGGAAAAAAAAGTTTTTGAAGCTAAACTATGAGATTAAAGTTATTGTTTTGTTCTTTTATTTTGCAATGTAAGAAAAAAATTTAGAATCTCGTACATATGTATATGTTTTACATTTAAGTGCTGTAATATTTCTGCGACTATGTTATGATTAATAAAGTTAAGTTATTTTATTTAACTTGAGTGTATGTGATTTAAATAAGTATGCTCCGATCATTATCCTATAAGAGAATGTATGGTTTATGATAATAAATATGGATATGAATTTGGTCCAAACATACGTCATATAATTAACTTTTATTACTTTATTTTTAATTATTACATAAATATTACTTTATTTTTACTTTTTATTAAATTTGTAATAAATTATAATTACATATATATCACTTTAAAATTAATATATGAAAAACTCACATAATATACTCTTAAAATAGTTTTAATTTAAAGTGAGAGAAGCTTAAAGATAGGGAATGAGTGGGTCATGTTTGGCAAATGATGTCATTTGGTAAAAGATACATAAAACATTAAGAGGTTTAAGAATGAGTTAGAAGTGCTTTAAGTTTTTATTGGTAATTAGTACTAGTTAATCACAAAAAAATGATATAAGATTTTCTCGAGGATCAGGGTCGAGTGAATGATGTGTTAATAAAAGAGTGGGGCGTGCAAACTCCTATGGACCTATCCATTATGATCAAATAAATAAAGCAGATAGAGTTGTGAAAAAAAAGGTGATGGGATCATGTTTAACATGAAAAATCAAGAGTAAAAAGCTCCTCACCAAAAGTTTGGCATAGAAGGAAGATCATCTCTTATGTTTCTAGTCATTCTAGAAGTTATGCATAATAGGGAGATTTTAAACGTAACTATTAATTTTATATCTTTAAACCTACATGCAGATCCCATAAGTTCATTCTCTTCCTTACCATATTCATTCACATTAGTTCCATAAAACCTTCCATTATTTTTAATTTAAAACCTTTTATTGATATATCCTCTTATCTTAACAATCTCATCCTCACTAATTCAAATAATTACTTAAATTCCTCCTCTAATGGCCTAAAGCTCCCTTATGGATGAACTCATCTTATAATTTTATGGCCATCTTCCTTCCACAAGCATGAAAAGTATATTATTCTCACATAACTTCCTCATCTTTTCTTTAGTATTATTAAAATAAACCTACTACTTACAAGTAAAAAACCTTAAGATATGAAGAATTACAATGGGCGAAAAATTTCATGCTCATTGTTAATTGCACTTAGTCCTTAGTTTCGAAGTCTTTTAATTTCTATTTAGATAATAACAAATAGATTTGCAAGATTAAGCATCCAAATGCTTATATTGAATAATGTAAAGAACATCTTGTTATAAAGGGAATCAACAAAAAGGAAGGGGTCAAGTACATAAAATTTTTTTAAGTGCAATAATCAAGTACAATGTTATTTACTTAATATTATCTCTTGTTGTATCCTTTTATTGATAGATTCACATATTGGATGTCTTAAATGTCTTCTTTTATTGATACCTCAAGAAAGAAGTGTACATGACAGAAGTCACTAATTTTGTTGTTATGACATTTTTATATCATGTGTCATCTTTGTAAAAATCCATATGGTCTTAAATAGTCCAAATTTTTGGTTCATTAAATTTTAAAATTTTTTATATAAAACGTATAACTTTGTTCCCTCGAATGTCATATGCTTCTTATTTATATTTAAATAAGTTAATTCTTATCTTAATCATCATTTCTGTTGGCAATATTGTAATACAAATTTTTTTACATATGATTTGTAAAATTACTAAAAGTTTCTAGATAATTATTTGCCAAAACATTTGAAAAAGCTTCACAATTTGTTAAGCATTAATTTTTTATTTTATTTTTTTAAAAAATAACATTCTTTCTTAGCATAAAAATCATTTTGATTTGCTCAATAAGACCAACATGACTAACTCTAAAGGATGATTTAGACCCTCATGGCTACTAGCTCTATCTAGTCAAGACTTTTGGGCAACAATTTCATGATCCAAAACTATCAAAACGGATAGCCGGTGCACTACCATGTGTCATTCTCGCTAGAGACTTGATTACTCAAATTTAGATACAAATGGCAACTTTGTTCACACAGGTATCATCAACTTATAAAGGCTGCTAAAGGAAATATAATATATATGCTATTTAATTTCCTTAATTTATTGCTAATGTACTTATCTTTTAAGTTCCAAATCGATTGTATTTAAAATTTTTTTTTCTGTTTCTCATATTTAAGATATAAATTCATGCCAACAAACAAAATTTGCCTAATAAGTAATACAATATATACATATATTTTTTAATATTTAAAGTTCATATTTAAGATATAAATTTTAAGCTAATAGTACTTATCCTAGTCTCCCAATTTCTAACAAAGAAAGCCTACCTCACCCCAGCCACTTCTTAATTAGAGAAGTAACGTATCTACTTAATTAGAGAATACTGCAATATGGAAATACACAAGGGAAAAACTAACTGTGAATTAAGTGAATTGTTGGGTTTACGCCCATCAATTACTTACAATATATATGACCAGATATAATCAAAGGGAAGTGAGTTTAATTAATTGGTTCATAAATTTGGGTCAAAGGTCAGACGTATGAACACATGTCATGCAGGCAAGAAAGAAAGGCAGGAGGTGTAGGGTTTGCTTTGATATCTGTTTCAGGTAAGCCCTTCTTTTCTTCCTATGTTCAAAGCTTACCGATTTTGGCAAATTCCATAAAAGAATATCTGGGGTTGGTTAAAAGTCACAACTCAAGAGATCAACTTTTTGTTCTTGTTTACACTAGTGAAAAGAATAGCTCATATATGCCATCATTGCTGTTTGCCGAGCCATTTTGTTGTGTCTACTTTGCACTAATAGCTTCTATTTTTTAATAGACAAACAAAATACAAAATAAATTTATTATATTATATATATATATATATATATATACACATGCATGACCTACGAGAAAAGACTCTCTTAAGAGTTCATGCAAGAGGCATAATAGTAATTTGGTATGAAGTGGTAACCCTCTTTCTGGAAATGGTGATTTATTTTATATGTACACACACACACACACATGTATATGTCCTTATTATAAAGATGAGCATTTCATCCAAAATTATTTCTTACCCAGACTTTAAATTCAGCAATCAAAAGGAAGAAACAGAAAAAAGGTATGTTTAACTTTCTCCCCTATTTTCTTTTTATGCTTCTTCTTCCCTCTTTCTCTCAGCTTTTTTAATTCCTTCTGTCGTGATTTTACAAATATGAGTGTAGGTTTTCTTAATTAATTCTCTGAGAAAATACCATGCACCAAAAAGGGTTAGCTAGGTTTTCTCTTTTGTTTGGCTTTCCCTAATTAAAACAAGATGGTACAGGATATAACAAATGGGACAGGGAAAAATACCCATCCGCCGGATCGAGAACACAAGCACAAGGCAAGTTACCTTCGCCAAACGCCGTGTAGGGCTTTTGAAGAAAACCCATGAGCTGTCCGTGCTCTGTGATGCCGAGATCGGACTTGTCATCTTCTCCAGCTCTGGAAAGATGTTTCAGTACTGCAGTCAATCTTCCAGGTGCATTTTCACTTAATTATTTACTTATTAATTGATATAATAATTGGGTTTCATATTAGTTCAAAATCTGGTGAACTATTGTTTGGAAATCTTGTTGCAGCATGGATCAGATCATAAACAAGTACCATCTTGCCCGTGGGATTCATCCAGAAAACACTAACGACCCAGTGTTCTCTCATTGTGTATGTATATATAAGTTCATATAATTTTGAATTAATTAACTAATTACAGGCTATATATATATATCTAGATGTTGATTTAGGGTTGGAATGTACAGGAACAAATGCAAGGTGAAATGAGAAGAATGAGAAAAGAAACTCACAATCTTCAATTAAGTCTGCAACGTTACACGGGTGACATCGACCTGACGGCCGTCCATTACGAAGACCTAGTTGAACTTGAAGGCCAACTGGAGAACTCAGTTAACAAGGTCCGAGCTCGCAAGGTATATATACGTATATACTACATAAGTATATTTTGCTTTCCCTTTTTCTTTGATTAAAGCTCATTACTTCAATATTTGTACTTCTTTTGAAAGTTTATTTTTTCAATTATCTTACTAATCAAATATTACATGATTATAAAAAGTGAGCTATTTTCTTTGTGTTAATTGGGTGAATATAGTTTCAACTCCTACAGCAGCAACTGGACAATCTTCAGAGGAAGGTATTAAATATATTCATATAATAATTAATAGAAAATTATACAACATTTGTTGAAGAAATTGATGATATTTATTATTGTTTTATATACATCTTCTTGCTTAACTTGTAGGAGCGTATGTTGGAAGAGGAAAACCAGCAAATCTACCAGATGGTAATTAAGGACACAGCTTTTTTTAATGATGCTATTATATATACATATGTCGAGATTGTGATTCTGAATAGTTGATAATAATTAAGCAAGGATGGAAATGACAGTAATCTTAAAAGGTTTAATTATTTGATTTAAGCATAAGTAAAACACATGCATGTATGTATAGAGTAATTAAAAAATTTGAATTAATTGTGTAGATTAAAGAGACACAGATGGCATGGGAGCAGCAGCAGGTAGCAATTGCTGGACATCCGAAGCAAGAAGCCGAACATCGACAACTGCTGGATCTTTTCGATCCATTTTCTGGAGAAGAGCAACCCAGCAGTTTTCTTCAACTAGCCCTTCTCTCCCCACGCTTCCAACCACCTTATCGCCTCCAGCCTACTCACCCCAATTATCTTCAAGATTTCACTCTTCATGACAACGCCACCTATGGTAACATATTTATATATACACATATATTATATATAATATATAATATCAGTCACATATTAATGATAAAGTACATATATATATATATATATATGACTAATTTGTTCAAACATTGCAGAGTGATCAGATGTACATGCTACAAATTTTAATCTTCTCATGAAGTGGCAAGATATGTAGATGAGATGATAACAAGAAAACACCTTTAGTTTGGATTTCTTATCGCTAGTAGGAAGGTTATTATTAATAGAATATGCTTTGGGTGTGTGACAACTAAAATAAATCGGTCAATTTTCTTGTATCGTAATTTTTCATTTTACTTATTTTGTATGCACAAGAACATATTAAAATCTATATAATTAGCCTTTAAATACCATGATTATTCTATGCTAATTTTATAAGTACATTTAATTTAATTTTTTTCTACTATGTTCATATATTCATTAATTAGGTCATGCATATATAACAATAGTAACATTATAAAAGTAAAATATAAATAAAAACATAATACAGAAAATTATAATTGGTAAAATAAAAAATAAAATAGAATGAAATCCTTCATTCTTTTTAGCAATAATGTTCCTCATGGCACAAGAAAACCAGTTTAAATTATAAACCTGTTGTCACTCTTCAAAAAAAAAAATTAAATACATATAACAAGGATGAAAAAAAAAAAAAAAATGCCTTCTCTTGTACATATAAGAGAAGCTTAGTTATTTCCACTTACTTGCTTCTTAAATGATTGTTGGGGATTTGGAACAAAACATAAGGAAACTGGGAGGGGAAGAGGAAGCTAATCATGGTTGAGCGAAACACTTTACAAAATACATGGATTCAGTAAACTTTGATTATTAAACATACGTGACACATTTACATTAATTTTTTCAAATCTTGGTGCCAATATATGTGTTATAATATTTAAAAGATATTATGTTATAAAACACAGTTTATGAGATATATAATTTATAATTTTTTTTTAAAAAAATGTCTAACATATTTTATATCACAACATATAAAATAAATCTTTTAATAATATTTGGATAATGATTATTGAAGTTCTTATTATGAAATTTTATGCAATCTTGCCAAATTCAATTTGAGTTTACTTTCGTAAACTAACTAATTAATTTGATTTTTATTACATAGTGAGATATTCTTATTCTTGATTGATATTTTCGGAATATGTTACTCATATTTTAATCAAAATTATGTTGTATATAATAAACACAAATGATAAATGAACTTAGATTATCGATTTTAAATTGAAATCTTTTTTGTCAACTTATAACGTAAAATGGTGAACTAAAAACTTTGTCAGACCTATCTATAAAATTATCAAGTTACGTCCAAAGTAATTTTAAAATGAAAATTCTTCATACAATTTTGAGCATCATTTTTATTTATGGCATCTTCAATATTTTTATTTATTTAAAAATATTAATTAATTCAATAACAAATAAAAATAAAGAAAAATCTAATATATAAAAAAGATGGATGCAAACATCAAGGACATGAGCCAAATTTTTGAAGCGTTGGAACTCAAATTTATAAAAAAAAAAAAAATCATTAGCTGATATTCAAATGGAAGGTAGCTTATCAATCTTCTTTTTTGTTGCTCGTGAACGTGTTCTGCAACAGAGTAATGGATCAATAACTACATCTTGCACTACACTAATATCAATGACTAATTTACTCAATTTGGTTTTATACTATCATAATTATTCTTACATGTAAATTTAGTATTATCTAATTCGTTTAATTGTATTTTAATTGACTTTATAGTTGTTTATGGTCTTTTATTGAATTGTAATTATGATTTTGACATCTAACATTCACTACTTAATTTTTCCTTCACCATGTTCCTTGATTTTTTTTTTTTTTTTTGGTTGTCGCTCTAAATTGGGTTTTATATTGCAATAATCACTTATTTAATTAGTTTTTATTCAAAATTTAATACTATTAGGTTTTTAAAATAAAATTAATGATTTGGGACTCAAATTATAATTAAAAAAAATTTTGAACTAAAATGTAAAGTTAGTACCAACATTTTTATTATCACCATGAATTTAAGTCTTCTATACATTATATGTGAATCAACTCAACCGTGACAAACTCAGACGGGGGTGGGTCGTGTGCAATTGAATTTGGCTTAAGTAAGTGAAATGATTTGTTTTCTCTAGCAGATCCAAGATACGACAGTAACAATTCTGGGATTTCTCTGTTTTTCTTTCATCTTTTCATTATTCGGACGCTTTAACTTCTATTCATTGAAGAATCGAATAACCAGTAAATCTGAAGTTTGTGTTTGTACGTAGATCTGGAGCCGTCTAGTTTTTGTTTCGTGTTCTTGGATCTCTTAATCCATTTTCTTCTTTATTTTCAGACCTGTGAATCTCCCGAGAATCAAAATCTAATTTTACATAATGTTCCTTTCTGTATAGTGTACCCATTTTTTCTTGCCTTTTCGAACTCAATTTAGATCGCGATTCAAGTTTCTGATGTTTTGATCTCAAGAAAAATTAAGATTTGACTCACTTATTGGTGCATATGTTTGAGCTGCTAATGTAAAATAATGCTTTCATTTGCTTATAGAAAGACGAGGTGATGATGTGCCTGTTGATTTGAAAGCTATATGCTGTATCTTTTTTCTGTGCGAGCATTTATTTTATGCTCTGAAAATGTTTAGGTCATTGGGACTTGGAATGATTGATGATTCCTGCTTCTTGTATATATTTGTCCGCTGGATTGAACTTTTGCTGATTTGTTTGCACTCTGACTTGCTGATCCTAACCCAAAATTTCGTTTCTAGGTTATCTGCACAGCAGTGGCTATTATCTTTCAGTTGGTGGTTGTTTTTGCCTGATAAACAAAGATGGTAATTTTTGCCCCTTATTATAATATACCATGTCAGTTTTATTTACTGGTGACTAGAATTTGAAGTGAAGTTCACTATCTTAGTTAAATATATATGAATTTTTGCATTGTTACATTTTGAATTATGTTTTAAAGGTCTAGTAGTTGCCTTTGTCACTTTTATTAATGTTTTGAATTCTTAGACTTTTGTAATCTTTTGCTGAATAACATGTTTTGCATAATATGAACATGTTTTTCAATCAGCTCTAGGCTGTTTCATTTTACAATCAGAATAAATTTACGTGACTTGGGTAGAGATTGTGTTTTATCTGAAGAATTTTGATAAGTGTAATTGCATGTTTTGCTTTTAAGTGCTTTGTTATCTTTTTTGAGTGGATTGTCGCCATCTTATTTACCTTTTACGTGATTTAGGTTGTGCTTGCTGCATCTATAGTGAGCAAATCTGGTAAAGGTGAGTTATCTACTTGTTTGCTGGAGTTTTCTTCTGAAAGTTATCTGTCTCTACCTTTTGTCATTATGTTCTTTAGTCAGGACTCTTGGCATTGAGATATAGGATAATAATGTTTTGTAACTGATCTTATGGGTTCTCAACAGGACCAGAATATAGTAAAACTTAGAATAACTAGATGTGTTATGCTTATACAACTTGTTTCTAACTTAGAGGAGAATTGGAGGTTGGATTTGTAAGATAAACATCCAGCCAAGTCATTTTTAAGCCCTTTCAGGGTCTTGTTATCCCTCAGGTAGCTAGTGTGCAATTGAAGCAAAAAAAATTTTGGATGTATTTAGTTTTTGAAAAGAAGGTGTTTTACAAGAAAATTTTCTAAACATGTTTTCTGCTGAGGAAACATGTTTAGTTGATTTTATATTTATGTTGTTTTGGAATTCTTTCCCAAGTACGCATAAGAAGGAGAATGCATTTTCTCTTTCCTGTTTTCTACGACTGGAGAATAAGCTCAATGGGGCACAAGCGTGTGGTTTTTACATCTGAAAAATCATTTAGAACTCTATTAACTGAACAGATTGTTTTCTTTTTTTCTTATGGAAAATGAGAGTAGAAAAAGCAGATATGAACATAAAACAAAGAATAAATGTCTTTAACAGTCCAATAAGAAAATGAAAAACATTCTTTTGTTATCAAACAAAAACAAGTTTTCGTTCTAAATGCACCACATCCTTTGAGTTTCTTTCTTTATCCTATTTTTGTTCTGCAGTTCTTGTGTCCAGGCAGTTTGTGGACATGTCTCGCATTAGGATTGAAGGTCTTCTTGCTGCTTTTCCAAAGTTGGTGGGCACAGGAAAGCAACATACATATGTTGAGACTGAGAATGTCCGCTACGTTTACCAGCCAATAGAAGCTTTGTACTTGTTACTTGTAACAAACAAGCAAAGCAACATTCTTGAAGATTTGGAGACTCTGAGGCTGCTTTCAAAGCTTGTATCCTTCTGCTATTTCTCTGTTACATTTTTATGTTCTAAAATTGTCTTTATTTTATACATAAGCATATATTCTGAGAGGATGGTTTTTAAAATTTTTACACGTAGCAGCAAGGACCTAAATAGTTCTCTTTCAATGGCCTATTCTCATTTCTACCTTTTATTAAATTGTTCAGTGCTCGTATTTCAAAATTATTTCAATAATGCGAAACATCATTTATTTTAAATTATATATATATATATATTATGATACCAAATAGGGGATATTTCTGATTCCTTAAGATTATCTAGGTACCTGAGTATTCCATGTCTTTAGATGAAGAAGGCATTTGCAAGACTGCTTTTGAGCTGATATTTGCTTTTGATGAAGTCATTTCCCTGGGGCACAAGGAGAATGTGACTGTTTCCCAGGTTAAGCAATACTGTGAGATGGAGAGTCATGAAGAGAAGTTGCACAAACTGGTAATGCAGAGCAAGATCAATGAAACAAAAGATGTTATGAAGCGCAAAGCCAGTGAGATTGACAAAAGCAAGGTATTTTTTCAGGGCTAAGGAATGGCTCTTATACTACCTTTTTGCATTCCATTATTTTATTGTATTTGCGGATCCTACTAACTTGATCGCTTACATTTTGTAGATTGAGAAGAATAGAAGTGATAAAGGAGGATTTATGTCCTTGCAATCAATGGGGTCTGGAAGAATAGAAAGTAGCTTTAGTGATATGAGCATTTCTAGTGGAGGTGGTGGCTTTGGTAGTGGTTCTGGGATTGCAATCAGCAATGAAGTTGACTCCTTCTCTGCCAAATCTAAAGGTTCGTGGCCTTATGAATGGAATAGATTCTCTGATGTCTTGTTTTCTATGAGATAGCAAGTATTAAATCTTGAGATTTTAATCCTTGGGTTATGTTTCTTTAA